GGCCCCCAAGATCGCCCAAGAGGCCTCCAAGAAGGCCCTATGACGGCCCAAGGGCCCCCCAAGACGGCCCCAAGAGCGCCCCAAGACGGCCCAAGAGGCCTCCAAGACGCCCAACATGGCCTCCAAGACGGCCCTGAAGCGCCCCAAGAGGGCCCCAAGACGGCCCAGAGAGGCCCCCAAGACGGCTCCAGACGGCGTCAGACGGACCAGGAACGCCCTAAGACGGCCAAAGAGACCCCCAGGAAGCCCCCAAAGGCCCCCAAGAGGCCCAAGGAGGCCCCCAAGATGCCTCCAAGAGGCCTCGAAGAGGCCCCCAAGAAGCCCCCAACAGACCCCAAGGGTGCCCCAAGAGACTCCTAACAACCCTCATCCTCCTACTCTATTTCTTCCTCTTCCTCTTCCTGTTCATAATCATTCTCTCCCATGTGTTCCCCGAAAGCTTTCCAAACCGACTCGGGGAACTCATGGTCCGATAGCTTGGCCAAGCTCTAGTCCAACTTTCGGCCACATCGGCGTTTCCAAAAAGGCAAGGGGCGGCGGTGATTCGCCGTAGGCGTCTTCGATAATGAGTAATGTGTTCAGTTTATGCTTCGGCGCGCCCCCACCGCCAGAACCCCGCACAAAGCACGGTCCCGAACGACAACCACGACCAGTGCTTTCACGTTCTCCTTCGGCGCGCCCCTGCCGCCGGATCCCCGCGCGGAGCACCGACGCGGACGCCAACGACGAGCACCCCGTTCCATCTCTGCCCTGGCGCGCCCCCGCCGCCAGGAGCCCCGCGCGGAGCACAGCCCCCGAGCGACGATGCCGAGCAAGGCGTGCGTTCCACTCCTGCTGCGGCGCGCCCCCGCAGCCGGGGCCGCGCGCGGACCCCGGCCTCTCAAGGGGCCCCGAGAGGCCTCCGAGAGGGGCCCCGACGCTGCCCGAGAGGACCCCGGCATGCTGGCCACGAGAGCTCCGCCAGGGGCTCCCTGGAGCCGCCCAGTCCGCGAGGGCTTGCCAAGGCCTCTCAAAGACTCGAAAGGGTCCCCCGAGACGCCGCCGGCCGCTCCATGCCGCCCGAAGCTCCGCAGAACTCGCCGAGGCCCGCCCAGACCCCGCAATGCCTCCCAGGACTTCTCGATGCCTGGGGCCGGGGGGGCGGCGGCAAATCATCCCGTCAGAAATTGCCCCACGTAGCCGCCAGAAGCCCCGCGGGGGCCTCGGGGGAGCCCCAGGGCGCCCCCCAAGGTGACCCCAGAAGACCCGCATAATCAGCAAAACAAGAGCCGCCAAAACAGCAAGCAAGCAAGCAAGGGGCCCCGACAACCTGACCCCCTTCTCCCCCGAAAAAGCGAGCAGACGCCGGGCCAGACCATTGCACCTGAAAACCTTAGTCGCCTCCCTGGCGGTAGACGGGGGTTCGCGGCTATCCCGTGGGCGCGCTGGAAAGGTTTTCACCTGGGCGCAGCCCTCCTCTGCAGGATTTGGACTGTCTATGGTCAGTTGCCTGCGCGCGCCGCACCTCGGGCCGCGCCGCGGCCTGCGCCCCGTCAGCACGCGAGCGTGGCCCCTGACCAGCTCGTGCCCGAACGGGGACCCCGGGGGCCCCGTCCCGAACGGTCGTGTAGGACCCCGCTGCCGCTGGCACCCTCTCGGCTGCTCCGTCACTGCGCTGGCGTGCTCCTGCCGCGACCAGTCATGTGGAGCCCGCCGCCACTGGTGCCCTCCTCAGCGGCTGCCTTTCCTTGGACTGTCTCTTCGGACCCCTAACTGTCCGAGCCCTCGTCCTCGCTCTTGGTTGCTGCCGTCGTCATCTCGGCCGAAATCAAGCGCCAGCATCTCTGCGTGCTCCGTCGGGTCTGGCATGTCGTCGAAGTGTGGCGAGCTCAGCGGCGACCTGCCGGAAGCCCAGCCACAGTCCCCGACTTTGTGGAGCCTGGCCGCATTGTGCTTCTAAGTGTGCACGATGAGGCACAGTCGTCCTTGATTGGACAGGACGCGCGAGAGGACACAAGACCTTTCTGAGGGCCACATCGCCATAGGAGTGTAAGAAAGCACGCGACGCGAGGCACAGGACACAAGGGTACCCTTGAGCTGGCAGGGTCGACTTACTAACCTGGGCCGACTGTATCTGCCGACCTTCTCGGTGCCCTTGCTCTCGGGGGGGCTGCCTGCCGCTCTCCGTGTCCATTCTCAACGTTCGTCTAGCTGCCGTCGTCAGCTCTGTCACGGCCGTCCTCTGGCCCCTGCCTTCTTCGCGAGGGCGTTGCTGTCCCCGTCGGCGGTGCGGCGTCTTCCACTTCTCCATCTTCGACGGCGGCCTCCGAGGTTGCCGTCCCCCATGGTTGTCATAAGGCGCCGCGGCCAACCCGCCAACGCAGGCCTCGAGGGCCGCGCTGGTCGCAGCTGCCGCGCTCGCCGCATTCTGCACCGAACAAGTCTTCCTCATTACCAGCCAGTTCGCCAGGTCTTGGATGGCTGCCGTCTCGCCCAGTTCAACGCAGGCCTTCCCAGAACGCAGCACCTCCGCGAACCGTTGCTGGAGCATAGAAGCGACCGCGTGGCACGTCCTCGCGTATGCGTCATGTGTCCGCACCTTCCGGCGACCTCCTGCCATGGTAGGCCATGGCCGAAGGGATCGTGCCCGCTCCGAGTGCTCTGCCCAGAAGCTCACGACCTCCGCGGCGATGAGAAGCTCTACCTTGTCGTCCGTACAAGCCGCTGGCTTCAGCATCCTCTGGAGAGCACCTCCTGGCCCGGTGCCGCCGCCTCTGCGTACCCAGCGGGCTTGCGGATCACCTCCTGCCCCGCGTCGTCACAGAGCGGGAAGCAGTAGTCCCTTTCGAAGTCGGCGACCCCCTTCCACAGGTCGAAGCCCGTCTGTACCCATGCTGGGCCCAACATGTAACATTGACGGGGTACCACGAGCGGCAGCTCTGGCAACTTGCGCCCGCTCCGCTAGTCTTCGCGCGCACCAGCTTGGCCGTCAGCCCCCCGCCCGTGAAGGCGAGGCGCTGTGGCGGGAGTCAGATGCGGTCGTCGTAGCGCAGCACCGCCCGGACCTTGACAAGGCGGGGCCACGCCACCCAGCGCATGTACCTCGCGAGGTCCTCGTCCATGACCAACCGTCTTAAAGCCCCGATGAACGCGCTGTGTGACCATGTTGCCCTCGTTGTCGGGTCCTTGCCCGCCCCGAGGAGTTCGCGACGACCTGCTGGGCCTCGGGCCGTTCTGGTCTACGCCCGCCACGTGTTCCGTCCACGCCATGGCGCGCAGGGCTTGGTTGGGCACCGTCGGCCCAGACGTGCACGTCGCTGATGATACTCACGATCGCCACTGTTCATGGGACCCCGCGCGCGAACGCAAGAGCCACCTGCTGCTCGTTTCCCCGGACCGCACGCACGACCTCACCGTGTTAATGCGCGCGCGCGGCCCGCGTTGCCGTCGCTTGCCCGCTCCAGGTCCACGCAGGACCGCGCCGTCTTCAGCGAGGGCGCCCCCCATCTCTTCGGACAGCGCGATCGGGTGAGGCTCCCACCGAGCCCACCTTTGCGCCTCCAGCCCGCGACGGCTCCCTTCCGCTGCCGCACAGCACCTCCGAGGGAGGCGGGCCCCCGCCCTCGTGCGGGCCCCCCTGGGCGGCGGCGGGGCCCCGGGCGCTCCGCGGCTGGCCGCCACCGTGAGGCACGCCAGGGCGTCCTCCAGCATGGCCCCTTTCGGGGCAACCACGGAGCGCTCTCGGCCGCTTCTGCACTGGCTCCTCGGCAGCTGCCTGGTCCACGAACTCCCTCGGCGGCCGCCAGGCGTCCTCCACGCTGGGGTCCGCGGCCGCCGCCGCCTGCTCGAGCGCACCCTCGAGCTCGGAGGAGAACTGACTCCTGAAGCACCTTGCGGACCCGCCGCCGCGAGGCGTCGAAAGCACACGGACCAAAGGCCAGCATCTGCGCCCAACCGCTGTTCAAGATCGGCCGAGCGCCGAAGCCCAAATGGCCACGGGCATCGGGCAGAGCGAGAGAGAGAGAGAGGATACGCCGTCGTGCTGGCGCACGGGGGCAAAAAACCTTCGGGAGCGCCGTCGTCGGATCGCACATCGAACAAAAATCCGTAGGGGACGCCGTGTGGCCGAGCGCGGCTGACAGCCCCAGCAAGCCGAGGTAACCTGCGGGGGAGCCCATCGTCTGGTTACTCCAGACTTCGTAATAAAGGGAGGGGGGTCTCATTTCGGGGGGGGTCTCTTCCCCAGGCTATCTTGGAGGGCCTGGGGGGTCTGGGGACGACGCTTTGGAGGGTTCTCCCACGGGGGAGGTCTGAAGTGGCTTGTCTTGGAGGGTCTAGGCCCCCTCCCTTTTATTACGAAATCTGGAGTACTTACAAATGCGACCGTCCATCACAAATAACCAAAAGCATTGGGGGAACCATCACGCCGAACACCACGGACAGGCCCGCCAGACTCTCGAAGTGCCCTTTTCACCCTCGGATCGAAAATTGAGAACCCTTCCATGACTCCACCATCTCGCCGCACATGACGAAATCGCTAAGGGGCGAGTAGCGCAGAGCACTGCCGGCATTCCCCACACAGTGGCCCTCTCACATCTTCGCGAATCACTACTCCAGAACAGGCCCTGTGTCAGCTTACCGCAATCTGGGAAGTCACTCGAAGGCCCGATGGACTGATCGCACACAGGGAAACCCTCATGGGGGAACGTGAAGCACACTGTGGCGCCACGCTGCGGCACACTTCAAAACATCGCCACACCTCGCATTGCAGCACGCCGAGCGCTTTCGTCCGAACAAGACGAGGCAGTGTGACAAGTGCAGCAAGAGCAGAATCAACAGCAGGAGGGATATGAGGGAAGCGGAGGAGGAGGCGGAGGAGGGAAGAGGAGGCAATAAGAGCTCCCGGGAGAGGGAGAGAGAGAGAGAGAGAGAACCAAAGACAGAACAAGTGAAGAGAGAGAGAGAGAGATGGGAGACATATAACGATACAAAAAGCAGCACAACAAACAAGTCGCGAGGTCCTGCGCCACCCAGGCGGCCCCATACTCGTCGACCGCCGCGGCGACCAAGTCCCGGGTCAGGGGAACAGCCGCGGCCGCCGCTGCCTCTGAGGACGATGGCGAATATGTGTCGTATCTCGGTTTCGTCGCCGTCGCCGCCGTTGGAGGAGGACGGGGAAAGAATGGGAGAAGGATCGGCAGCACGAGGACAAGCAGTAGGACGGGCAAGACACATGTGGAGGAGCATGGGACGGAGGAGCCTGGACCCCCCCCAGGGATCTACATCAGAAGTGTGTGTTGTTCCATCGATGGCCGTCTCCTCATTCTGTCCCCCTCCTCATCCTGATCCCCCTTCCTTCCTCATCCCGTATCCCTCCTCCTCCTCCCCCTCCTTCTCCTCCTCCTCATCCTCCTCATTATCCTCCTCCTCACCATTATCCTCCTCCTCTTCCTCCTCCTCCTCCAACTGCTCCCCCTCACCCGCATCCCCTGTCCCTCCTCCATCCTCCCTCCCTCCTCCTCCAACTGCTGCTCCTCCCCCGCATACCCTCTCCCTCCTCCATCCTCCCTCCCTCCTCCTCCTCCTAGCAAGGAGGGAGGAGGAGGAGGCGGAGGAGGAGGAGGAGGAGGAGGAAGACGGGGAAGGGAGGGAAGGGAGGGAGGGAGGGGAAGAGGAGAGGAGGGGGAGGGGGTACACGTATATTATACCCGTTCCACTGCTCCGCCGCCCCCTCTCTCCTCGTTCCCCCCCATTCCTCCCCGTCCGACCACCTTTCGCCTCCTCCTCCTTCCTCCTCCTCTCCTCCTCCTCCTCCTCCTCCTCCTCCTCCTCCTCCTCCTCCTCCTCCTCCTCCTCCTCCTCCTCCTCCTCCTCCTCCTCCTTCTCCTCCTCCTCCTCCTCCTCCTCCTCCTCCTCCTCCTCCCCCTCCTCCTCCTCCCCTCCTCCTCCTCCTCCTCCTCCCCCTCCCTCCTCCTCCTCCTCCTCCTCCCTCCTCCTCCTCCTCCTCCTCCTCCTCCTCCTCCTCCTCCTCCTCCTCCTCCTCCTCCCTCCTCCCTCCTCCTCTCCTCCTCCTCCTCCCTCCTCCTTCCTCCTCCTCCTCTCCTCCTCCTCCTCCTCCTCCTCCTCCTCCTCCTCCTCCTCCTCCTCCTCCTCCTCCTCCCTCCTCCTCCTCCTCCTCCTCCTCCTCCTCCTCCTCCTCCTCCTCGCGCCTCACGCATCACAATTCCTCCTCGGGGGGGTGGGGGGAATGGGAGGGAGGAGAAGGATCGCACTGTTCCTCCCCATCCCAATCCCCTCCGCTGTGCTCGACGTAGCGCACCGCGCTCCGACGCCATTCATGCGGCATCTTGTATTGTTCTCCTCCTCCTTCTTCTCCTCCTCTTCCTACGTATTTCTTCTCCTCCTCCTCTCCTCCTCCTCCTCCTCCTCCTTTTCCTCCTCCTCCTTCTCCTCCTCCTCCTCCTCCTCTTTCTTCCTGCTGCTCCCTATAACTGTCCCTCATTCTCCTTGTTCCTCCTCATCCTCGAACCCTGCCAGCCTGGCCAAGGCTCCCGACGAACTCTGTTTCTCTACCCCATCACACAGGAGAGGCATGTGGTGGACCGGAGCGGGGGGAAATGGACTGGGTGCATGGATGGAGGCCTCCCACTTGGGGTCCGCGTAGATGGGGTCGGAGGATCACGCCGCATCGTCGATGCGTCACCGATGCATCCGCGATACATCGGCGACGTCGGCGATGCATCGGCGTCGCCGGCGTGGAGAAGATCGGGCTCGACGTCGAGCCGCATCGCCGATGAATCGGCGATGCGGCGCGATCCTCCGACCCCATCTGCTCCGACCCCATCTGTCGGGGGCGGCAAAGAGGGGGGCGTCCAAGAGGGGGGGTGCAAATCATGGCCGGCGGCATGTGCCCGGCCCAGGGAGGGGGGGGGGGCTGGGGACGTATCAAACAAGAAGCGGCGCCATGAAATCTGTGGAAATACCATGGCCCCCGTCATGAGATCCCCCCCCCCCTAGTCATCGCCCCCCTCCCAGACCCCCGACGTCATGATTTTTTCATGACGTCGACCCCCCGAGGACTCGACCCATTCCCCGGGACCAGTTTTTCGTCCTGAGTCGTTTTTTGACGGTCCCGAGGGCCGGTAGGGGCCCCCAGAGGCCAAAAATAATGAAAAACCTCCCGTCGTGATTTTTTCATAACTCGAGGGGGTCTGGGCTCTTTGCCGCCCCCGAATCTGGGAGGCCCCAAAACGGAAGCGAGGGAACCGGGAGAGCGCAGGGCGGACCCGGCTCGACCCGGCGCCCCCCCCTGCGGTAAAAGCCGTGCGCGCCCCGCGGGCGCGCGCGCCCCCCCTCGGTGGGCACCGGGCCCGGCGCGCGCCCACGCAGGAGGCCGCGCGCGCGGGAGGGCACACGGGCGAGGCACGCGGTGGACCGGGCGAGGGGGAAGCGGACGGGGTGCTCGGGACCCAGACCCCCTCGAGTTATGAAGAAATCACGACGGGAGGTTTTTCACTATGTTTGGCCTCTGGGGGCCCTTGCCAGCCCTCGGGACCGTCAAAAAACGGCTCAGGACGGAAAACCGGTCCCGGGGAATGGGTCGAGACCTCGGGGGGTCGACGTCATGAAAAAATCATGACGTCGGGGGTCTGGGGAGAGAGGAGCCGGGCGAAAGGGGGGGATAGCAAAGGCGGGGGTTGAGAACTAGCTCACGTGGCTGATTTTACCGGCGCCTCCCGGCCCGTTCCTCTATATATCGAGGAATGGGCCGGGAGGCGCCGGGCCCATTCCTCGATATGCCCATTCCTCGATATATCAAGGAATGGGCCCGGCGGCGGGGCCGAAACCAGCTGCATGCAGCAGATGTTGTAACCCCGCCTTTCCCCCCCCCCCCCCCCCTATTTCGCCCGACCCGAGAGCGGGGGGAGCCGGGGGAGCGCACGGCGAACCCTGGTCCGCCAGGCGCCCTGCCAGCGCGCGCACGCAGGGGTCCCAGACCCCCGACGTCATGATTTTTTCATGACGCCGACCCCCCGAGGTCTCGACCCATTCCCCGGGACCGGTTTTCCGTCCTGAGTCGTTTCTTGACGGTCCCGAGAGCCGGTAAGGGCCCCCAAAGGGCAAAAATAGCGAAAAACCTCCCGTCGTGATTTTTTCATAACTCGAGGGGGTCTGGGAACCCTGGTCCGCCAGGCGCCCTGCCAGCGCGCGCACGCAGGCGTGTGCGCGCGCGCAGGCGGAACACTCCCGCGCGGCGAAGGGCGGCGGCGTGCTGGCGCTCGCGCCGGGTCGAAGCGCGCGGGGCCTCGCTGTCCAGGCCGCCAGCCAGGGCGGCGGCGAGTCCGAAGCGAGCTCCTGACGCAGTGCGCACGGGGACGGGGGAGGAGGAGAGCAAGGCGGGTGAGGAGGAGGAGGAAGAGGAGGAGAAGCCGAAGGGGGGACGATGTGGCGGTGGAGGAGGGGGCGGAGGAAGGGGAGGAACAGGAGGAGGAACAGGAGGAGGAGGAGGAGGAGGACGACGACGGCAGTTTTTTTTTGCGAAAACCAAGAACTTTTCGACAAGCCTCCCACAGCTCACATATCAGCTGGCGCTGCGAAACAACTCGCCTTGCCACCAAAATCGTGAGACTCGGCCGGGACGAAGGGGAAGGAGGGCGAGGACGAGGCGGAGGGCGAGTGGGCAGCGTGGCTGCCAACAACGGCTGCCACGAAGCAAAAATCCTCCGACGAAGAAAATGGGACGGGAGGAGGACAGAGGGCAATCAATACCAAGACGCGACAGTCTAAACGGTCGCAGCCGCACGCTCAGCATTGCAGGCAAAAAAACGTCAGCAGCCCTGGAGTCGGGCTCGGTAGTAAGACAAGGGAGAAGGGGACGCCGGCGAACACAGATCGCAACATCGCGCGTGCGCGACGAGGCCGCTGCGACTGGACGGCGCTCGCGCCGAAGCCATCGCGAGCACGAGCGAGGGAGAAGCCAGGGAGAGGGGGGGAGGGGAAGGGCGGGGCACGGGGCAGCTTGCTGGGCGCAAGCACCCGCCAAGGACATGCCTCGGAGGCCTGGAGATTGGCACCAACACCAAGACAGAGGGTTGCCTCCACAGGGGGAAGATGATCCTAGATTTCCAGCGCTGGTGATAATCGTTCGGCCACCTTGGAAGCCAGACTTTTACCACCATCACCGACATCGGGATCTTCTTCCCCCGGTGGAGGCACACCGCCGAAATTATTGGTGTTGGTGTCAACCTCTCGGCCTGCGAACGACAGCACTATAGACGTCGTGCGCGAGCGGGCGCGCGTGCCCTCGGCAGCGCGCGCGCGCGGCCGCCGCGGCGGCCGGCAGGAAAGGGCGAGCGCCGGAGCGCGTGCCCCGGGGGTCGGCCCGCAGCGAGCACGACACCTGTGCGCTCGCAGGGCCAGCAGGGCGCAGGCGGCGGCGGGCGCACCCCACGGGAAGAGGCGGACCGGGGAACGCACTGAAGAGGAGGGCGCCACGACATCTGGGAGGTCTCATTCTTCCTCCTCCTCCTCCTCCTCCTCCTCCTCCTCCTCCTCCTCCTCCACCTCCTCCTCCTCCTCCTCCTCCTCCTCCTCCTCCTCCTCCTCCCCCTCCTCCTCTCTCCCCTGGGGGAGCACCCCCGAGACAGAAGACTCCCCCCACGAGGCGAAGAAGCCGAGTGGCACGGACGTGAACTTCCAGAGGTCCCGCGGGAATGTCTTGGCTCGGCGCCGGACCCCCCCCGTCGGCGGCGCCTCCGGCCCAGCCCTCGCCGCGCTCCGCGCGCCGGGCCGGAGAAACCCGTGCGGACCTCCGACAGCGGATATATATATATATATTGATTTATTTATTTATTTCTATTTATTTACTTATTTATTTATTTATTTATTTATTTATTTATTTATTTATTTATTTATTTATTTATTTATTTATTTATTTATTTGTTTCTTTATTTATTTATTTATTTATTTAGTTATTTATTTATTTATTTATTGATTTATGTATTTATCTATCTATTTATTTATTCATGTATCTATTTATGTATTTATTTATTTATTTATTTGTTATTTATTTATTTATTTATTATTTTTTATTCATTCATTTATTTATT